TCCCTGCTGCTCTCCAGGAGGATCAAATGAGATTACAGTTCTCTTAACATTCTGGCATTGTTTTGCCCTTGTGCAAGTGCACGCTCACAGCAATTACTTGAAGCCCTGTGTTAAATGCAGTGGGAAGGATGGGAGTTGGCATTTGATTTGCCACAAAAGGAAGGATAGTCTTACTACGTGGCCCCACTTACAGCGTGTGGCTTCACTCCCTAGTAGGCAGGAAGTAGGACTGTTCAGCTAGCATTTCAACTGGCAAAGGGAAGGCCATACTCAGAGGCCAAGTCTCAGCTTGTCCTCCCACTATACTGTGTGGGCTTGAACAACTTATTTGATCTCTTCAGGGCTTCAGTTTCCTCATCTATGAAATGGGGCCCTCCCTGTCTGTGTTATTTTCCTATCCAAATCTGTACTGATTGATAATTCCAATCTGGGTGACTCCTAGAAAAAGATTCCACATTCAAGGAAGCTCTATGACCAAAGGTGATTAATAAAGAGTACTGGGCCCGGCGTGGTGGCTCTCGCCTGTAATCCTAGCACCTTGGGAGGCCAAGCAGAGTGGATCGCTTGAGGCCAGGAGTTGGAAACCAGCCTGGCCAACATGACGAAACCCTGTCTCTACCAAAAGTATAAAAATTAGCGGGGTGTGGTGGCTCACATCTGTAGTCCCAGCTACCCAGGAGGCTGAGGTGGGAGGATCACCTGAGCTGGGAGGTTGAGGTTGAGGTTTCAGTGAGCCAAGATCACAACACTGCACTCCAGCCTGGGGGACAGAGTGAGACTCTGTTTCAAAAAAAAAAAAAAAAAGAAAGAATACTGTATACGTTTCCCTACTTTGAAATCAGACTGAGTTTTTTAATTCAATTACTGAGCTCCCTGATACATTAGGCTTTTAAATTTGTTTAAAAATTATTTTTTCAGGGGCCTCCCTGTTCTATTAATGTTAAGACTTCTGATTCTTGACAGTACTAAATTTTTCTCCTTCCCAAAGCCCTAGAAAGCACTGATTGCCACTCAGGCTACACTAGTGCCATATAATGCCTTACAGCTTGGGGTAAGTTTTATTACAAGGGCATTTATTGGAAGCATGAGGATATATGGAAGATTATTTTTTCCTTCTTCTCCATGGCCTCCCTAAACAGTTATCCATGAATGTGAGTTTTAGTACAGTTCAAGTTCCAATGACTGCATAAAAAATCTCTGTTTTATGTAAACTTCACAGATCTCACCAAGCTGAGACAAGAATGTTCAAAAGAAAAAGCAACTCACTGCTTTGGCTAATTCTGGGGCAATGTTCTCTCCCTGTTGGCCTCCAGACTGGCCTAGTTTAAGGAACAAATTAGAGAATAAGAATTTTCAATCTTAGGGAACATTGCCTTACATAGGACAATTTTAAATGTTAGAACTTCATCTCCATAGAAGCAACTAAGAATTTTGAGAATCCATCATGTGCCAGGTATTATTTTTTTGCATATTATCTTATTCATTAAAATAATACTTCCAGAAAAGAGGGTAGGTCCATGAATTCAAGTAATTTGCCCATGTTCATGCAGCTGGCCTGAGACAAAGCTGAAATCCAAATTCAAATTCTCTGCCTCTAAGACCAGCACTTCCTCCTTCTTCCCCAGTACTGATTGCTTGGTTTCTCTGATTATTTTGATGATAATGATGATGATTTATTTGTTTTTTTGGAGACAGGGTCTTGCTCTGTCACCCAGGCTGAAGTGCAGTGGCACAATCTTGGTTTACTGCAACCTCCACCTCCTGGGCTCAAGCAATCCTTACACCTCAGCCTCACAGGTAGCTGGGACCACAAGTGCATGCCACCACACATGGCTAATTTTTATATTTTTGGTAGAGATGGGATTTCACCATGTTGCCCAGGCTGGTGTCAAACTCCTGAGCTCAAGTGATCCACCCACTTTGGCCTTCCAAAGTGCTGGAATTACAGGCATCAGCCACTGCACCTGGCCTGATTATTTTCATTTGAAAGATGCCTTAACTATATAAGTCTTGCTATGTTATTATCTAATTCCTTTAGTGTTTTAATAGCTTTAATTTATTTTCAAATACTTCCTCCCAGTTGGTGGCTTATCTTTTTTATGATTTTAACTGCATCTTTCAAAAAGAAGTTCTTATTTTTATGTACTCCAATTTATCGTTTACCTTTTTTTGGTGGATTGCGCTTTTGGTGTTGTAGCTAAGAAATCTCTGTCTAACTCAAGATTACAAATATTTTCTCCTATATTTTCTACAGGTTTTATAATTCTAGCATTTACATTTTAGGTATATGATCCACTTTAAGTTCTGTGTATCTTATGAGGTGTGAAATGAAGTTCATTTTTAGCAAACAGATATCTAATTATTCCAACACCATTTGTTAAATGCCATTCTACCTCCACTGAATTGTCCTTGTACCATATATGTGTGGCTCTGTCAGTGGGCACTCTATCCTGTTCCATTGATCTGACTCTATGCTAATGCCACACTGTCGTGATTACTGTAGCTTTATAATGAATTGTAAAGTCAGGTAGTGTAAATCCTTTAACATTTTTTTTTCCTTTTTTTCAAAGTGATCTTGGCTATTCTAGACACTTTATCATTTCTTTAGCTTTTATTTATTCAGGGATACAGTTACAAAACAGAATTTAGAAATCTAAAAATAATTTAAAATTAAAAATTGCTATATAAAAAGCTGTATGAAAACTGCCTATAATGTAGCTTCATCAGGAAATGAGGCCCTCTGGGCACTGGATTCCATTTAGTTAATGTAAAATTGTTGCATATACCTTGCATGGATTGCCATTTTTTTCAGAAAAATTAAAGTATAATCATTTATACCAGAATTGTATTGGACATGAGTATCTTAGTCATTATAAACATAGTTGTCATTGTCCTAGTATTGTGGGGGAATTACTGATTAAAGGGAGTTAATTAGTTGTATTGCTGTCTACCATAGTTATTTACTTTTGATTTGGGGAATGCCTTTCTTCAAATATCTGAAGTGTTGTATTTGATAGTGATATGCAAAGCATTCTGGGTCTGTCTCTTCCAATAAAGCATATCCCTATTTACTTTAAGCTTGCTATCTGCTGGAGACAGTGAGGAGTGACTATTAATTAGGCGAATTTAGCTCTGATCTGTTAGCTATCAATGCCACTGTGTGATGTGGAGCAAATTACTTACCCTCTTTGGGTTTCATCATTTGTGAAATGAAAGGTTTGGGCTAGTTAACCCTGAGTGGCCCATTTGGCTCTAGATTTTTCTTACTCTTTTGTAGTGTTTTTATCCACTTAAAAATTATAACCCCTTTCAAAACTTTTAATGTCAAAAAGCTCTGTGATGAGTCAGAGGGGGAGCTTTCTCAGTCAGGTAGTAGTAGTTGTTTGATGCATCACAGATTGCCTAACACCACTGCATGACTCTACTTTTAACCGTGGCCAGCACTGAGCAATTAAGATGGCATTTATGGCTCCTGGTGCTGAGATATTTTGTGGCCCATGGAACTCCCATATTCTAAGGAAAAGAATTTCTTCTAATCCCAAGCAATTCCAAAGCTTCAGAGTTCTCCTGAGTTGGCAGGTTAGATTTTCAAATGTATCTCCAAAGTAAGTGGTACTATTACTTGAAACCAAGAGGACTTCAAATATCTTCATTGTCGTTCTGATGCCAAAGCACAGCACAGCTACAATGATCATTGCTATACTAATAGAATAAGTAGCTTAGAGAGCCAGTTTACTAGGAGATGCAGAATAGAGACCCAAATTAAAAATAGTATAAGAGAACATTAAGTGGGCACTTACTGTGTGCCAGGTGCTGTGCCAAGCACTTCATATGAATTATATTAGTTAATTCTCACAATAATCTTGAAAACTAGGCATTATCATCTCCTTCTTACAAATGAGGACAGGATGCACAGTCTATGCTACTTGTCCAAGGTCACACAGTGGTAAGTGGTGGAGCTGGTCTTCAATCCGTATGTTTCAATCTAGAGTTTAAACTCTTAATGATGACATCAGAGACTAGCTAGCACATTTAAAGAGTAATTGCATATGTAGGATTACAGTGATCTAGACAAAGAATAACCCGTTCTGATGGGTCACTTTTGGGTAGACTTGATGGAAGAAAGAATTCACAGAAGATTTCTTGAAGAAATTGTTTTGAGATTTATTTTGAAACGAAGGATATAAATTGGCCTAGAGAGATAGATGAGTTGGCACTGAGGAGATGGACTATATGAGGCCATGAAGACACAAATGAACAAATTTTGTGTTCAGGAAGCAACATAAAGACTTACGCAATGCAGAGTGATAGCCAGAAATAAAACTGATGTCATAGGGATGAAAATCCAAGAGGTTTCACTTTATTATAATAGGCACTGGAGATGCACTCTCAGTCTCAAGCAAGAAAGGGAACATAATTAAAATTGTCTTTGATTGTGCAGTTTATCCTACAACTCATGTGGGATAAATATGAGCTTTGAGTGCATCAGGGAAGGTCAAAAGAAAATTTCTTAGCAAAACATATGTGATACTTAACAAATTATCTTCAGGAGTACCACATAGCTCACCTCACTAAGGCTCTATGGCCAAATAGTGCAATGACTGTGTATTTAGGCCTTTAAGAGACCTGAATACATATTTTACATAATTTTTGGAAATAAAGGTGACTAGTCCACCTCAGTTAAGCCACCAGCACATTCCTTTGGCCCATCAACACTGGTATTGTGTAGTGGACATAAAAGGAACACAGAAGGGTTATAGATTAAAGTCAGGGTTGGGCAAATAGAAATCTCTCAACAATATGTACTAAATTGAATTGAAGTCTGCTTTCAGATAGCAATGGCTGCTCCTGAGTGAGGGCTAATGTATTTGGTGAAGTATAGTTGGGTCCCTTCCATTATAAATCCACTAACGCTAACTTAATGTCTCTTCACATTTTCTAAAATGACTTTTCTCTCTCTCTCCATCTCCCTCTGTCTCTATCTGTCTTTCTCTCTCCAGTTCCAGAGACCTAATGACTTCTCACCCCCTTTCCGCTTTGGGACCGTGCCCAACGGCAGCACAGAGAGAAATATTCGCAATAACTATGCAGAAATGCATGCCTACATGGGAAAGTTCAACCAGAGGGGTGTAGATGATGCATTGCTCTCCCTGAAAACAGGGTAAGAACTGCTTCCAAGCTCAGAGTCCTTGATCTGTTTCTCACATTTATTAAGCATACTATTGAATCACATGCACTAGGTATACCATGGTTGGTATCATAAAATGTTAATGAAGACTTCATTTGCTCTTTATGGATTTCCAAGTTAAATTTGATAGTATCACTTAGACCAGTGTACAAAGATTCCTATGCTATTACTTACTTCTATGTATTTTTTTTTACAAATTATTTTCTAGTTGCACTAATGTAACCACGAAGTAAGAGTGAAATAAATGTAGAAGTAGGAGGGCAGAGTGAAGGCTAAGGTATTTGTGCCGTGTATGAAATAAAGACCTGTTGTCTAAGAGGTGAAAATTATGGTTCTGGTGTCTTATGGACAATGGAGAAATAAAAGGGGGAAAGTGTAAATGTTTTTAGATAATTAACAGTAAGAATGTGTTGACTGATCTCCAGTGCCAGCTTGTGTTAACATACTCTGTCCTCTAGGGAGTGTTTGTCCATTTATAGTTCATGACCTACACATGTGTTGGCTTGCACAGTCCCAGCCAAACTGGTCCCTTTGTTCATTTGGCCTCCACAAGCTACAGTTATGGAAGATGATGGATAATGGAGCATTATAGATGTTGGGATTTGGAAGTCAAGGGGTCTTGTAGCTCATTTTCTTTGTTGTATGATGATTAAACAGCACTTGGACCTCCTCTCAATACCCTTGTAGCTCCAGGTCTGGAAAAGGCACCTAGATACATGGTTACGTAAAATACTGTTAGATTCTATGTTATCACCATAGGTACGGTCACAAAAGATCTCAGAAGATGGGATTTGAGCTTGAAGGTAGGGCCACTTTGGGTATTCTGACCCCTGCTACACCCACCATTCTCATTCATATCAGGGCTTTGGTTTTTTGGTGTTCTCCTCTCTATAGGTTACCTAACAAAGTGACTTAACTAATAAAAATGAAGGGAATAATGGTGTTGCTTTTCTTTCTTGCAGACCTCTCTATTGCCTGTACAGCTATATCTAAATTTCTTCCTCTACCTTTGATATGTTTAAATGTTGGTTTTAAATATTGATTCATGCCTTCCTGCCCCTATGCCTGGTCTTACTCCCTTTTTTATGTATTTCTCCCTTGCAAAGCACAATACATAAAATGAAGTTCTTTTATGTTTAGGAACTATATGCTGTAATTTATTTATTTGAGAGATCTGAATTCTTCTGTATTTTGCCTTCTCTTGTAGTTTCACTCATCTGCTCTTACACAAGCCTGTACTGCCACCACCTCAACCCCTCACCTCTATCCTTATGCTGCACAACAGAATACTGGAAACTTCCTGACCACAAAAATAGCATTGCACATCTATTGAAACACAAACACCTACACTTATCCCCACTCCAGACTGTAATGAACTGAGAAATGAAAAATGTTATATAAATCTAACCCCATGCTATTTGTTGCTCATTGCGGTGGTTACTTTTCATTATTTCTGTTATTATTTTTATTGATCCCTTTTTACTCCTTCTTCCTTTCAGACACAGTTTATGAGTTGGCTTCAGGCCCAACTTACATTCTCATCATTCCCAGTGGGAAGAAAAGAACTCCTCCTTTCAACCCAAAAGCACATAAAGAACAGCCTGGGATTTAGGCTTTAGATTCTGGCAGAGTTCCAATTTAAACCTTACTTTGAACCAATTCTCCACATAGTTTTCTGGAACCCTACTGCTTCGTATTAATGGCCCCATAGGTAGTTTTGTTCTAAAATTCCTCCATTGGATTTGTTTGCTTTTTTCCTGTACAGGAAACTGGATGCCTTCATCTATGATGCAGCAGTGCTGAACTATATGGCAGGCAGAGATGAAGGCTGCAAGCTGGTGACCATTGGCAGTGGGAAGGTCTTTGCTTCCACTGGCTATGGCATTGCCATCCAAAAAGATTCTGGGTGGAAGCGCCAGGTGGACCTTGCTATCCTGCAGCTCTTTGGAGATGGTGAGTTCAAGAAAGGGAAAGTGCCCATTTGTCCTCTACTGATGGCCAGTCCAAAACATCAACCTTTTCCTTTCCTTCATTTATTTAACCTGTGCATTTCCAGAAAAGCATTTCACAGTATATTGTGTAGTTTTCAGGTATATATTAGTTTCTTATTGCTGCCATAACAAAGTGCCATGCACTGAGTGGCTTAAACAACAGAAATGTCTTGTCTCGCAGTTCCAGAGAATAGACGTGTGAAATCACAGTGCCAGCAGGGGCAATCTCTTCTGGGGTCTGCAAGGGAGAATCTGTTTCATGCCTCTCCCATAGTATCTGGTGGTTTGCTGATAATCTTTGGCATTCCTCATCTTGTAGAAGCATACCACCGATCTCTGATTCATGTTCACGTGGTGTTTTACCAGTGTGCATGTTTTCCCTCTGCACACGTCTGCGTCTGAATGTCCCTTTTTCTTAAGAATGACAGTCATATTAGATTAGGGGTTCACCCTACTCTGGGATGATCTCGGCTTCATTATGTTTGCAATGACTCTATTTCCAAATAAAGTCACATCCCCAGGTATTGGGGGTTAGGACTTCAACACATATATTTTTGGGGGATGGTATAACATCTTTCACCCCATAACAAGGTGAAAGATGGTAGGGAGAGGATTGAAGCAGTTAGTCAAGGAGGTTTGTTTCTGGGTTGCAGGCTATAATCAAACCTTCAGGGATAAAGTAGGAGGACTGATATTAGATGTTTCATCCAGTCGTCTCACATGTGGCCAAAATAATAGATGTAACTGTGGAAGGTCTCTGCTCTTTATGTGCCCAGAGGTAGGGCAGAGAAATAAACTTGCAGCCATCTAGTCATTCTTCCTGCTCTCCCATCTTGCTCTTTCAGCTGGAAGAGGCAGGGTTAGGGTCCTCAGAGGCAGACACCATCAGCTACTCCCCAGTATCATCCTGGCAGCAGACTGAGCTGCCAACTTGAGTTGAAAAAAATCTCATCTTCTGTTTCATTATATTCCTGTCTTCTGCATCCCTCTTCACTTTATTGTACAAAGAAACTACTCTTTCTGTTAGAATCACAGAAACTAACTCAGTTATGAATGAGCAGCCAGACCCTTCTTGGCCTCACCAGCCATCAGCCAAGTGGCTATCTCAATTATGTCTGCAGAAGGTTTGCCGTTAAGGATGAGATCAGAAGCAGAAGACCACAGGTGGATTTATAGAATCCAGGTGAAGTTGTCTGCTCCACTAGTTAGGAGAATCATAGTTTAATTTAAAAAAATAAGGGAAAAATGGTTTGATTAACATTGGAAACAGGAGAATGTTTTAGCTGAAGTGTTACCAAGCCATTTTGGTATAAGAGCTTCTGTAATTTTAGTGTAGCTGTCACTCAAAGGCAATAATGGAGACGATACCCATCAGAAAGAGATGATTTGCAAAAGTTGCCAAAACTTTAGTCAGATTATGCAAGCAAAGTTCAGTTTTTTAGCCAAACTAGAACTACTGGAATAGGCAATTTTCTCCATGAGATTTTCAGAATTTTGCTTGTCTAGAACTAGATGCATTCTAGGGCACATGGTTTCTTTTACTTTCCTTTTGTCTGGGACCTCTTCCTACTTCCTAGCATCTGGTGAAGTGGAAAAAGGTCATTGAAATCTGACATGAATTAAAGCAATCAAAGCATGGTTAAACAATGTGTAAAGAAGGCAAGTCTGAATTTGGGAGTCTTATTTTATTCAAGCTTACTCCTCTTTGCTCTTTATTTTCTTCAACAAGAGATCAGTAAATCGGAGGGGCCCTAGGGAATCAATCAATCTCTCTGCCTCTCTCCTCCCTACCCAATCTGCTTTGCACAATTTTAAGGGCAATTCTCTGAATCACTCATTCGATTATGTTATTCCCCACTGTCTGTAATATTAAGTGCAGAATGCTTAATCTGATACTCTGGTCTTTAGCACTCTCACATCAATCTTTTTTATTCAGCTTCTTTTGCCTACTGTGTCTTTTTCTGTTTGAACTGTTCTGTATGCCTTTCCTTAAACAAGCCTTGTGTGTTCCCACCGACCATACTATTCCTGCTGCCTGGAGTGCCTTTTTGTACAATGTAAATTAAAATTCATCCATCTAGCATGCCCACTTCCAACTCCTACTTGCTTCACGAAAAACCACTGGCCATGCTATCCACAGAATTACCGTCACCACTTTGAACTCTTGTTACCTGCAGACAGCTTGTCATTGTGATTATTTATATGCCAATTTATACAGGCTAGATAATGGAGAGTGGGAGCAATGTCTCATGTGTTCATAGCACCTGCAGTACTCACATGAAGTTTTTATTGAATGCTTACTGAGTACGTTGATGAATTAATATGTAATGGCATTAATAAGATTACTATTAACTTTTTTCATTTCCTTTTTGTCTCCTTGTCTCTTTTCCTTTCATGTATCTTTCTCTTTCTTGCTCAATACCCCTCTTTTTCCCTTTTCTCTACTCCTTTCCTGTCTCCTCTTTTTATCTGTTTTCCTTCTCTGTCCTTTCCCCAGGGGAGATGGAAGAACTGGAAGCTCTCTGGCTCACTGGCATTTGTCACAATGAGAAGAATGAGGTCATGAGCAGCCAGCTGGACATTGACAACATGGCAGGGGTCTTCTACATGTTGGGGGCGGCCATGGCTCTCAGCCTCATCACCTTCATCTGCGAACACCTTTTCTATTGGCAGTTCCGACATTGCTTTATGGGTGTCTGTTCTGGCAAGCCTGGCATGGTCTTCTCCATCAGCAGAGTAAGTGTTTTGATTTAAATGCCTAGAGCTTGTTAGGGACAGCTTAGCCTAGCACTGTGCAAAGCAGAGAGACCCAGGAGGACACTATCTCCACCCCCATGTTGCTCAAGCAAGAAACCACATCATGTATGTTTTCTCAGGAGTTTGTGTGATGTGATTGCAAGCGGCTCAGAAAAGTGGGTGATACTATATTTCCTTCAAGAAACAGCTTTCTGTGTGGGATTTGGGCATTTGGTTCTCTACGGGAACTGACAGATCTGTCAAAATGGAAAATTTGGCTTTTTACCAAATGCCTTTCATCACCACTAGTTGGTTCTGTATAAACTCTATTAACTATCTAATCCTTTAAAAATGTACATTTCTGTTTAAATAATTATATGTAACATATCTCTTATTTTAACATACAAAGGTATATTATTAGTTGTTTCACTCTATGTTTTAACCATGTGTTGGTTATGGAGAGTTAAAGAGCTTAACAGAACCTTCAGAAATAAGCTCTGACTCATAAGAAATTTACATTCCAGAAACTTCCCTAGTTGGAGCAAGAGTAAAAACTCTTAGGTCATTCTTTATTTAGGTCTCCTCTTCATTCCTAGTCCAAAATGAGACACTAGGAAGACAGTTTTGTGTATGAGCAGAAGGTCACAGGGAGAAGTTTTTTAAAAAGTGAGCTTCTTTTGATTTTGTTAATAAAGTGGAGAGACTAATTCATGAGAATGAATGAAGGTCTAGGTTCCAGATATGGCCAACTTTGACTCAAACGGAGTTTTGTATTAATGAGAAAATTGATTTCTCATTAAATTATTTCATGTTTTCATCTTTTTCCTATAGTATTTTACTGATAGAGAACAATTTCTCCATTTCCTCTCTGGCTGTGAGTTAATTCAGGCCATCGAGTGAGCTCAGAACAGGAGGATGGAACTTGGGGGTGGTGATGATCCCTGAGCCATGTTGCTTCCCTGGTAGCCCTTCCCTAAGATCTCAGATAGGGGAACGCCAGAAGCCGTGGGAGCTGGTGATCTGTAATAAAAACCCCATTTATGATGCTTTGACATGATCAATGCCTCTATAGAGGAAAAAAGGCTTGGAATTTTCTCTTGACCTTAATCAGGAAGAGTTAGAAGAACTGGGAAAGTGAAATAACCTTACCTTGAAGATCTTCCATCTTGCTGATGCCCTGTGGGACAATGAGACTTACCTTGTCTAAAACTTTCTTCTTTCCCATTTGGCTACGATTCTTCTAATCCTCTCCCCTCTCATTCCCATCCACTGAGACAACTTCCCTTTCCAAATTAGTCCCATTTGTTGTAATGACACAATTCAAACAACCTCTTTTCAAATACTTTCCCTAGCCAGGGAGAAAAGTTCCAAGTTTGTCCACCTTTCCAGGCAGGGAGCAAGATGTGAGCGGGCGGTTGGCTTGACTTTAGAATCAAACATACTGAGCCCTCCAGGAACCCAGCCCATTGCCTCTCCTGCACTGTCCTTCAAAGCCCTGTACAAGAAGCTGTACACAGGGAGCTCTCGATCAATACTAATTTGTTAAGATGTTAATTATTGATGATAATATTGAGTGAGAAAGTATAAGAAGGAAAACAGGCGCTAAAGAGAGAATAAATGAGAGAATTCAACAAGGGAGTTATTTATTCCTATTTAGTACTGGCTGTTTGTCCCAATTCTTCCCTCCCACAGTGTAGAGCACAGCAGGAGAAAAATCCTTCATTGACCCCAGGGCTTCCTAATTCTCTTTCTGTGAATTTTGTTCATGCTTGGCTCAAGAAGAGAATTGAAGAGAATTGCTCAGCTGTTATTTGGTGACCGAAATTCTAAAACCTGCTTAAAATTTGTCAGAGCTGGAAAACAGTGGCAATTGTGAGCTACTGAGCTCCCCTGTGCTTTACTGTCAGCCAGGTATGGCCAGCCATGGCAGAGCAACCTCAGCATCCATAGAGCATGGCCATTTATTTCCAGAAGACTGACAATGTTTTTTGCTATGGGTTGATATCATGGCCTCATTTTTAAGATGTGAAAATCTAGGCATAGAAAACCACGGTAAGTCAACTGTGAAGTTGAGGCAAAAATGCCATATCCTATGATTCCAGTCCCTTTGCTCAAGTTACTGGGTGTGACCATGCCCCCTCTCTGATGGCCAGGTCACTGACCTCGTCTCATGACATGACAGACACCAAATTCAGGGATATAAATTAGACAAGCTTCTAGCCACATCTAACAGTATATCAGACTATTCGCTTCATGCTTTCCCTGATTTTTTCTTATCCAGTTGGGGCAATTATTGGTGGGAGAGTGTTTTTTTTTGTGGTCATTTCTAGCCTCTCTGGAGATCTAACCTGTCCCCACGTTCTTGCTTCAGGGCATCTACAGCTGCATCCATGGGGTGGCGATCGAGGAGCGCCAATCCGTAATGAACTCCCCCACCGCAACCATGAACAACACACACTCCAACATCCTGCGCCTGCTGCGCACAGCCAAGAACATGGCTAACCTGTCTGGTGTGAACGGCTCCCCGCAGAGCGCCCTGGACTTCATCCGACGGGAGTCATCTGTCTATGACATCTCGGAGCATCGCCGCAGCTTCACACATTCTGACTGCAAATCCTACAACAACCCGCCCTGTGAGGAGAACCTCTTCAGTGACTACATCAGTGAGGTGGAGAGAACGTTCGGGAACCTGCAGCTGAAGGACAGCAACGTGTACCAAGATCACTACCACCATCACCACCGGCCCCATAGCATCGGCAGTGCCAGCTCCATCGATGGCCTCTACGACTGTGACAACCCACCCTTCACCACCCAGTCCAGGTCCATCAGCAAGAAGCCCCTGGACATCGGCCTCCCCTCCTCCAAGCACAGCCAGCTCAGTGACCTGTACGGCAAATTCTCCTTCAAGAGCGACCGCTACAGTGGCCACGATGACTTGATCCGCTCCGATGTCTCTGACATCTCAACCCACACCGTCACCTACGGGAACATCGAGGGCAATGCCGCCAAGAGGCGTAAGCAGCAATATAAGGACAGCCTGAAGAAGCGGCCCGCCTCGGCCAAGTCCCGCAGGGAGTTTGACGAGATCGAGCTGGCCTACCGTCGCCGACCGCCCCGCTCCCCTGACCACAAGCGCTACTTCAGGGACAAGGAAGGGCTACGGGACTTCTACCTGGACCAGTTCCGAACAAAGGAGAACTCACCCCACTGGGAGCACGTGGACCTGACCGACATCTACAAGGAGCGGAGTGACGACTTTAAGCGCGACTCGGTCAGCGGAGGAGGGCCCTGTACCAACAGGTCCCACATCAAGCACGGGGCAGGTGACAAACACGGCGTGGTCAGTGGGGTACCTGCACCGTGGGAGAAGAACCTGACCAACGTGGAGTGGGAGGACCGGTCCGGGGGCAACTTCTGCCGCAGCTGTCCCTCCAAGCTGCACAACTACTCCACGACGGTGACGGGTCAGAACTCGGGCAGGCAGGCGTGCATCCGGTGCGAGGCTTGCAAGAAAGCAGGCAACCTGTATGACATCAGCGAGGACAACTCCCTGCAGGAACTGGACCAGCCGGCTGCCCCGGTGGCGGTGACGTCAAACGCCTCCACCACTAAGTATCCTCAGAGCCCGACTAATTCCAAGGCCCAGAAGAAGACCCGGAACAAACTGCGCCGGCAACACTCCTACGACACCTTCGTGGACCTGCAGAAGGAAGAAGCCGCTCTGGCCCCGCGCAGCGTAAGCCTGAAAGACAAGGGCCGATTCATGGATGGGAGCCCCTACGCCCACATGTTTGAGATGTCAGCTGGCGAGAGCACCTTTGCCAACAACAAGTCCTCAGTGCCCACTGCCGGACATCACCACCACAACAACCCCGGCGGCGGCTACATGCTCAGCAAGTCGCTCTACCCTGACCGGGTCACGCAAAACCCTTTCATCCCCACTTTTGGGGACGACCAGTGCTTGCTCCATGGCAGCAAATCCTACTTCTTCAGGCAGCCCACGGTGGCGGGGGCGTCGAAAGCCAGGCCGGACTTCCGGGCCCTTGTCACCAACAAGCCGGTGGTCTCGGCCCTTCATGGGGCCGTGCCAGCCCGTTTCCAGAAGGACATCTGTATAGGGAACCAGTCCAACCCCTGTGTGCCTAACAACAAAAACCCCAGGGCTTTCAATGGCTCCAGCAATGGGCATGTTTATGAGAAACTTTCTAGTATTGAGTCTGATGTCTGAGTGAGGGAACAGAGAGGTTAAGGTGGGTACGGGAGGGTAAGGCTGTGGGTCGTGTGATGCGCATGTCACGGAGGGTGACGGGGGTGAACTTGGTTCCCATTTGCTCCTTTCTTGTTGTTTTAATTTATTTATGGGATCCTGGAGTTCTGGTTCCTACTGAGGGCAACCCCGGTGACCAGCACCATCTCCCCTCCTTTTCACAGTTCTCTCCTTCTTCCACCCCTATCAGCCATTCCTGTTCCCATGAGATGATGCCATGGGCCCTCTCAGCAGGGGAGGGTAGAGCGGAGAAAGGAAGGGCTGCATGCGAGCTTCCTCCTGGTGTGGAAGAGCTCCTTGACATCCTCTTTGAGTGAAGCCAGGAGAACCAAAAAGAGGCTATGTGAGCACAAAGGTAGCTTTTCCCAAAACTGATCTTTTCATTTAGGTGAGGAAGCAAAAGCATTACGTGAGACTATTTAGCACACTGCTTGTGAAAAGAAAGAGGCTCTGGCTAAATTCATGCTGCTTAGATGACATCTGTCTAGGAATCGTGTGCCAAGCAGAGGTTGGGAGGCCATGTGTGTTTATATATAAGCCAAAAAATGCTTGCTTCAACCCCATGAGACTCCATAGTGGTGGTGAACAGGAACAAAAGGTCATTGGTGGCGGAGCGGATTCTTGAACAAACTAGAAAGCACGTTATGATAGTGTCCCACAGTGCCTTGGAGGCAAGAGCAGGTGGATTGTGCATGCATGTGTGTTCATGCACACTTGCACCCACATGTAGTCGGGTGCCTCAAGAGAAGGCAACCTTGACTCTTTCTGTTGTTTCTTTCAATATCCCCAAGCAGTGTGATTGTTTGGCTTATATACAGACAGAGATGGCCATGTGTTACCTGAATTTTGGCTGTGTCTCCCTTCATCCTTCTTGAATAAGGAGAATGAAAATTCTTTATAAAGAAGAATCCGTGGTCTAGACAAAAAAAAGATGGTGAGCAATCCTGCAAGAGCAAGGTACAAAAACAAGTCCTCAGTGGTTGGCAATTTTTTCAACCAGTTTGAACCAAGAACCTTCCAGGAAGGCTAAAGGGAAACAGAATTTTCACAGCCACGATTCTTTTGCCCACACTTGAGAGCAAAAGATTCTACAAAGCTCTTTTGAGTATTTAGACTGTCGACTGGCCAAGGTTTGGGGAGGAGCAAAGCCACCTTTGAAGTAGTAAGGAGTCGTGTATGGTAGGGTAAGTGAGAGAGGGGGATGTTTCCAATGCTTTGATCCCTTCTTACTTAACCTGAATCTAGAAGAGCAGGCTTCTTCCCCCAAAACTGATTACAACTGCTGTGGAGCAGACAGTTAAGAGAAATGAACTTGACAATTAAGAGAAATGAGCTGCACTCCATGAGTGTAGCTCAGGAGGTACGAAGAGAGGGGAAGAGACTTGGCAATGGGAGAGGGGGGCAGAGAGGGATCCTCCACAACCTCTTTGGGCCTGGCTCCCTGGGAATGTGACTTGAGCCCAGAGTGAACACTCTTGGTAGAAGCCCTTCCACCTTCCTGCAACACCTTGTTTCCCTCTCAGATTGTACCATTGAGGAATTAAAAAAGAAAGATATACATGTATAAAACTCCAGGGATGAGGGTACCGGCAGACATGATGCTCCCTTCACTTAACATTGGAAAATTGAGAAGGGAAATGAATATGTGTCACGGCCGGTCCTGAAACTTGGGGTAGGGCTATTCTATGGGTCAGTTCCACTGTCCTGCCATCCTTCCCTACACAGGGTGGCATCCAGAGAGCCCCGGGTCTGTGTGGAAGCTTGACTACAGGATCGCCATGTTGCACACAGGACACATAAACCAGAAAGGTGCTCATCCTCCTCTGGAAGGAAGCTGCCATGTCTCTTCAAGTCACTCCCTCCAGGGCTGCTCTTCGCCCCTGTTCGCCCTTACTCGCGACCCTTCCTCATCCCATCCTTGACTGCTATCCCCGACCCTCCTCCTTGATTTTTACCTCAGTATCTTTCATTTTAAAGCCAACTGAAGGCCTTGTAAAGCTTTGTTTTCTTTCTAAAATGAACATGGGGGCAAGGGGCTGAACCTCTCACAGATTTGGAGAGAGGGGCACGGAGTGCTTTACCTTAGATAACAGGAAAGACTGAGAGAGGACAGAGGGCGTGAGGCACCTCCAGGAGGAAGAAGGTGAAGGGCCACGTAAACACCGCTTCGCCCTGACTCTGTCCAGGGGTCAGGGACTCATCCCCTCATCTTCCTCTTACCTCACCCCTTTCAAACAAAAAACCAAACCAACTAACCTAGCGAACAGCAATCTAGAACCAAGGGAGCTCTTTCAGTCTCCGCTGGCAACAGAAATCAAGACGGTGTTTATTTCATATGTAAATATTTTGTTTTCTAATTAATTTTGTATAGATAAAGTGTTCTCTTGTGAGTATTCAGGGTGTTGGGCTGGAGGGAGTGGGGTGGGGATGGGAATGAGAGGGAAAAAGTGTTTTGTTATGGGTTTTCATTTTCCACTGGGGGAATTGTTTTGTATGGCTTTTGCTTCAGGGTGTCTGGAAAAAGTGAATGCCCATGAAGGCCACTATGGTGAAAAAGCCAGAAAGTAATCTGTGTCCATTCCCCCCGCCCCAGAAAACCAGTCTTCTTACTGGTTTGTGAGAAATGTTCATGCACTTTGGCCAGGGCTTTACATAGGGTTCAGTTTGGCTCTACGCAAACCCCAGGTCTGACTCCTATCCTTCTAGGTAAACCCTAGGTTACCGCATAACATGCAAAGACAGGCTGGTGGCACCATATTTCCTCTGTCAGTACCTAGGGTAGGAAAGATTCCCAAAAGGGCTTAAACAGAATTAAAGTCAAATTAACTTCCCGTTCTTGGTGTGACTGAAAGGTTTCAGGAAGCTCAATCCTGAGAAATCTCCCAGTGGCCTCCTCTGATGCTGAAACAATCATCTCAGTCATCTGAGTCTTTTCTTCCTTAGGACCTGGGCGCTGACTCACTCCCTGCCCCACCTCCACCCTCAGAAATCAGCCTGGCAAACACACCTGGAAAAATCTCCACTAACTACTTTTTGAAGCATGTGATATCTGGTTATCACATAACCAGAGAGGTAGTGCTGGATATGTGTCTTACAAATTTGCATGCTTTTCTAGAAAAGATGATGGGATCCACTAAAAACTCAGTGGTGAGATGATTCCCTTAGCAAGATTGCTGAAGTTAGGTTTAGAGGTGGGAGGATGGGTATGTGAGCAATGGTGCCAATAGTGGCCCTTTATTTGCCTTGTCCTCATTACTGCCATCAGGAAGGTGCTACTGGCCTTGAGCCAGGTGTTCATAATCTGGCCTTTGGTTAACCAATCGAACTTCTTTTCCTAGACTGTTGGTTTTGTGGAGGTTGGCAGCCTCTCTCTATCACAGGTTAAAATTTCCAAATCCATTTACCCAGTATATTCACTACATTTTTTCCTATCCTCCCATCATGAAAGCTGTTAGCTGGATAATTTTATTTTTCTAAACTCCTTATTTGGCCCCAATTGGTCACTTTTCTTCAACTGGATATTTGCACTGGGACTAAGTTACTCATGGTCTGCTCAAGAAAGCGTAAAGAAAGGAAGGCTGGGCGTTGTTAAAATCTAGATGTTACTTAATTCCAGAATAACAAGCAAGTAAAATGCATGAGAAATAATTCAGCTATAAGCCCAATCTATATCACAGATGGGTATGAAACAACACCCAATCCATCCAAAACTGTGAGATTCCGCAGATACCCTCAGGAGTACCTAATATTCCCATGTTCTTCAGAATCCATGCTTTCTCTCTTTGTACCCTCTATCATTCCCTTCCATTGCAGAAGTGGTTGGTGAGTGTGGTCCTGTATGAACTCCTTTCAGTGGCAATGCTTAAATCTCAGCATTTCCACTGACAATAATCTGACTCTTGAATTTGCCTGAGTCGAGAATGTGCACACCTTTCAAAGTGATACATGTACAGTGGACTTTGTTATTTCAAAATCTGTCACTGTGTATCCTCAGCCAGAACTTGGGAAACATCCTTCGTGAGTATTCCCCTGCACTGGCCACAGCCATGTTGTGATTGAGGGGAAAATCCCAAATGATTCCATTAAATGTTGCTGGTGTCAGTAGTGCCAAAAACGCATGTATGACGTGATACAGTAGGAGTCATCTATACAGTTAAGTGACTATCACCCACCCGGTCTTCCGTGGCCATTGGGAGTTGCCCAAGGGAGAATTCTCTGCAGAGTGCTGGTCACCTGCACATGTCACTAAGAGCTAGGTTTCTTCGGTTCATTTTTTTTTTTCCCGTTGTTTTTTAGTTAGTTCAAGATTTAGAGACAGAATAACCAGATTGGTTGGGCAATAAGCTTTTGGAAAAACGATTCCAGAACTCACTTTATTCTTTTAATAATCATCTCTCTAAAAAGGCCCTGTCATTGCTTGACACCCTGTGAATGTCTGTTTTCGTATGTTGGGAATGATTCAGATGTGTGCATAAATGATGTCACTGCAGTGATGTTGATGAATGCATTCAGCATTTCCAGGGATTGTGGCCATTCCTTATGTGCTCTCTGAGCCCAAAGCCATATAGGAAACATATGCTCAGTAGGCTGCTGCACACTACAGCAGAGCTTTTGCTTTCTTCACTTGGGTGTCAGAGATTTTTCCTGTTTAAGGAGCTCTTCATGGAGGAGAAGCAGCTGAAGGTGAATAGTTACACCGGGATGGGTCTGGCCTTACGCATGCTGTGTGGTCCATGGTCTGTTGAAGGTCCTGAAAAGGTCTTTTTCATTTCCCACCCCTCTCCAACTACTGCCTTCCCACACAGATTTGTTGCTTTAGTGCTGAGCTGAGCTGCCTGTCATTCGAATGAAAGTAATCCCAGGAAAGGTGACATATTAAGCCATATTAGGGATTTATACATTTAATCACCTAATTTACATTAGGAATCTCACTCCTTTTCCTGGGAATAAGTTATGATACAAGAGAAGAGGAAGGGAGCAGAGAGCACTGAGAGCAATAGAGTAGGGAACAAGGATACAGGTTCTAGATGACAAAGACATTTAAACCATATTTTATCCTCCACCTGCTTTTATTTAAGGCTCATGTGACACCTAAATAGGACTCCTGGTTAGGAATTATTTTCAATACACAATCACATGAGTGTATAATTTATGAATTTCTAAATTCAGTATCTTGTAGGGCAGGTTGAGAACTATGATTCTTTCTATAGAAAATGGAAAAGTGATGCTTCTCCTCCATTACATGTTACTGAGTAGGCAGCTAGAAAAATCAAATTGAATTTATGATACAATAAAAGTTACTGTCATTGTCTGGTCTCTGTCCTAGTTTAAATAATCTTCCAATTAGCTGAGTTGGTCTATATCCTATACTTTCCACCTCCATGGGGGGTGCCCTGTTATCTGGTAAAAGAGCCACTTATGACCTCAGGTGCTACTTAACCTGGGGGGCAACTGTTTCTTAGGCCTATCAGATGTTTGGGATGACACTAAAATGCAGATTAGTCAGTCTGAGAATGTCTAATATTGATCTGGATCTAGGATTCTATTCTAGTTTGGGGGGGTTCCAGTATTATATAAAATCATAGGATATCTGAGAACATCCCACCCTCAACTCATTCCAACCATATTGATTCAGTCACACAGGGGCCCTGTGAGTTATATGACTCAGAAGAGACAGCCTATCTATTCCCACGACAAAGGCCCCCACCCAGAACCTTAAATTGAAAGCCAGTGCTGCTACTTTTATGCCTTGGAGAGATCTGTGAAGTTTAGGGCTTCTCATTTACAATATTGAAGCAAGAAAAAAGAATTTTGTTCAGAGTAATGGGTTAGAATAGCAGTACTGGGAATAAGTGGGGAAAGTCAGAAATCTTCCACATTTCTCTCTGCGTCTCTCAGAGCTCCGCACAGTGAGTTTCTGGAGCTGCTTCATGCTTTGAATATAATTGCTGGGGTGATTATGTGGGTAAGGGCTCCTGAAAGAACTGAAGGTGAAAAGCAGAGTAGATGAGTAGAATTCCTCAGAGCCTTGGCACTCTGGTGTGTTGAGTCTGTGTTTTGGCAAAGGTAAGAGAACTCAATGCAAGAATAAAGGTACAATTAAAAAGCACAACACTAAGCCCAATTTAAACTGTTATTTTAAAGATTGGGTTTCCACACTTTAAACCTAAACTCCTTTATCTGTAATTATTTTAGTGTTGTGATTTAAGGGGTGGAGCAGGTTCTAGTACTATGCAGGAGAAAAAAATAAAAGCTCTCTGGTTAAATATGTGAGTTTAATTAAACCAACGTCTATTGTGCACGTACTATGTCCCTAGGCTAGTTCTGTGAATGATATAAAAGGTTTCAAAATGGAGTATATTGTACTCACGTACAATATATGAATGCATAAGTACAAAATATGTAAATTTATAAATAGGTATACATACATTTGTATGATTGTACATGCAAGTTTAATATTTTCTAGTTTCAGGGTAGGAGTCAAAGATATCCATTATGTTATCTGAAAAAACATTGCAGAGATTCAACTTCCCATGT